GCCATCACGATAAGGGAGTAGAATATACTAAACGTTACACATTATATAGGCTACACTAACGTGACGTTTAGGCGGTTCGTTTAACTATGAAATGTGATGCATGTTTTTCTGGGGGTGGTTAATGAAAGTGTTCCAAACGCGACATAAATTTCTTGACGATCTAATATAATATTGTTTCATTATCCTATTCTTTGTTTGTCTTTTAATTTACTTCATCCTTTTATTCTCTATTTTAATTACATTTTATAAAATGTTTAAATGTATAAATTTTTGTACCTAATAATTTGCCCTGTTAAATATAGCTTGCTGAAGATAGAATAAGTATATTCAGAAACGTTCACGAATTAAACGTTTGTCACTGTACACAGACGTGTCAAATGTTTGTTGTTGCTGCCATCGTTCGTATTAAACTTCGATTCTCGCCGAATGAATCTGTTGCTAAGTTACTGTACTTCTTGATCAAAGCACGTGCATAAAGTTTAGTGGTTTTAAAATTAATTATTTGTCTGATGACAAGCCTTATGTCAGTGAGAGAGGTAAAGTGTGGTATACAAGTACATCTTACACTTTTTACCTTTTTATATCAATGTTGTATTCTTCTGGGTATGTGCATTTTCTTACATATCATATGGCCAAGAAAATCATTTTGTTCTTGCTGCCTTTGTTCTCTGTCATTCTATTAAGGTATCATGTTCTGCATGACTATAATGCTGCACATTATATAAGAATGTGGAGTGCAGTTCTTCAATGATATGTCGTGTGGTATCTCGAGGTTACAGCCTCCCCTACGTTTCAATGAAAATGACCAGTCACAAGGATATTGCTAGTTGCACTGGTTAAGTTGATATTTTGTGTGTAGTAGGAAACACTGAATTTAGGCAGCCTAGTGGATGGTCTTGAACTCACCAGTCTTGGAGAGAGAGTAGTTCTGATCCAATATTAGAAACATTTCATCATCAAAGGAAGTAGATAGTGTTTTTATGTTCGACTATGATAAAGATTGGGCTTTATTCTATTTGACATTGTGTCCAGTATATTTATTTCATTCTCAGGAATTCAGATATTTAAAGAAATTCAGTACTACTCTGTAACAAATATCTTGTTGGGTCTCCTATTATTTAGAATACCCATCTCAATGTTTAAAGAATAAGCAGTTTTACCGAAATATACCATGTTTCTTGTTAATTTTAGCATTCTCTACTTCACATTAGACAATGTACTTCCTAAGATTTTAATGATTTAAGTCACTGGTTTAAACGTGTAATTCTACGGTAAAATGAATTTTGGTTGTCTTTGTTGTTTTCAGAATGATACAAATCAAATCATTCTGATATAAAGAGTGACTTCAAATGTCGCAACTCAGGCGGCCTGATAATTTTTGGTATTGAGTGAAAAGTTTTGTTGAATGCCACACGCAACAGACAAGGCATAGATATTTTTATTGAAAACGTGTCTTGGAACAGTAATTATACATTATAAATTATCAGTCTTATTATATTATCATAAACATTAATCCTAAAGGATTTGGTAAATTTTAGGTTTAGAATTAGACTATAAACGATTTGGCAAGTGAGAGAATGACCCAAAGAGCATTCAAACACTAATAGGCCATTGAATGATACTTGGAAAAGATAAAAGTTAAATGGGCAACATTTCTCAACTTCAGGGTACAATTCTGAGCCATAGTTAAAAAAAAAAAAACATAGAAATTTAACTTGACAAAACGCAATTTAGAATAGTTATATTACAATTATTTTGTCGTTGGTAAGGTTGATTTTCTGTTTAAGTATTTTTCTAAAATGACTAAAAGGTAAATTTCACGAAATAACATCTTAAAATCAGCTACGTCAGGCTGGATATTAAAGTGTCTGTTTCTGTAGCAAGACTATCTGCTGTGTCCACTGAGGGAAATCGAATCCCTGATTTTAGTTGTAAATCCATAGGCTTACCGCTATTCCACTGGGGGACTGATATTAATGACCGACTTCTGTTTTTACGTGACATATGATGTTTAAGTTAGGATGGTGATAAACAGTCGCTCGATCATTTAACCAATATAACCTGTATAATGTTTGATACGCGAAGAGATAAGAAGTTATTTCATGTCAGGTATCTACAAATTCATCTTAGCAAACAAATAAGTTAATTTTTAAGTGGTTTGGTTGTTTTTTAGAATTTTTACACCAAGCTACACATGGGATATCTGCATAGAGCCAATTATAATTTTGAACCTTATGGACTAGGGGGAAGGCGGATAGTCAACATTACCCACTACCTTCCCTCTAGTTATTATATAAAGTCTAGCTGGATTTCTGTTTGGATCAACTTCAATCAGTAATTAACCACCTTGATGAAAGTTTTACCTTTCTTCAGAAGTGCAAGAAATTCTCCAAAACATATTTGATTATCACTGTTATAGAATACCCACGGAACCAAGGTGCAAATTATAGTCAGTATTTATTACAGTTATGTAATAATTAATCTGCTGTAAATTTTTAAGTCAGTAGGCTGAGTGTCATTGAGAGTTAAATAAGACCCAAGTTACTTACATAAACAGTTTTGTTAGTTCTTCACTTGCTGCAAAATATTTAGATGTCTTCTCATGTTATCTTTAGTTCTCCTTAACCATTTAATGCATATTGTTGCTTTATGCCAATAAAAGTCTCTTTGGTATAGCATCTTATAACTGAAAATGTACGATATAATCTTTAAGACAATAACATTCATGTTCCAAAATACATAATCAGGGAGGTGGGGCATTCCTTGAGGAAGCAGTACTTGGACAGGATATAGCATGTTTTTTAGGTGAGAAACTTTTCTTATTTTTATTTTCTTTTGTGACAGTTTGAAAGTAAAAAAATATGTTTATGCATGTTGGTGCAATGAAAATATATTATTTAAACTGGCAATGTGCATGTGCTTTTTTTCTTGTTTTTTCAACCATAAATGCATAATGTTGCCTCATGATAGGAAAATATAAAATATATTTTTTTTAGTATGCCTAAATTGACGTGTTAGAAAATATACAATGTTTTTCTAAGAGACAAAGTCACACAGTAAAGGGTTAACAAATTCTCTTTCATTTTAGTATGGATTTTAACTTTTCATCATATTACTTTCTCTCAGTTTATTCTTTTGTTTCTGATGCACACTTCATGTTGATGAATGATTATAGGTTATTTTAAAGATACCTCGTTTTTCTTGAATGAGTTCAACATATGAATATAAAGTATTAATAGCATAACTGACATCCATCTGTTTGTCTATCAATAACTATCATTTTAACCACTACACCTCTGGGGGTATAGATGATAGTGTGGAACTGCATAAATATTTAGTGTAAACTAAATAAATGGTATTATTTTTAGAGTAACTTTAATTTGGTTGGACGAAATCAGAACTGCAATATAAAAATGTTTGAGTTTACGTAAATCTAAAATTTAAACTTTTAACAGATGTCTTTTCTCCTGATCATTGTAACACAATTTTTTTTTATTCTTTGGTCCCAAACTTGAATTGTGCACAAAGTTAGTGAGGTAGAGAATCACAGTAATAAAGAAGTTTGAAGATAATTCCACCCAGAACAACAGATAATTATCTGCTCAAGTTTAAATTCATTTATGTATTGTAACATTTATTTATCACATCCTTAACTATTTCAAATAAAAATGGAATATAACTAACTATATATGAGCAGTAACTTTTCAAAATTAATCAAAACCTAGTGAATTTCATTTAGCCAAATTGTTGACTGAATGTACTTTCTCCAAGAGCTTTTCTTTTGTATCACAAGAAAATACCTTCACACAATGTTTAGATGGGTTTACGTTGGGATCAATTTCAATCAGTAAATAAACACCCAGTGAACAGTTTTACCTTTCTTGAAGTGTGCAAGAAATTCTTCAAAAACTAATTATAAAAATGTGATAGGTGTTTATAAATTAAATCAATTAAACAATTCATATTAATATTGCAAGATATGTGAAAAAAGTTGAATGAATTACAATTAAGGTACACTAACAATACAAAAACAATAACAGATTAATAGAGTCACTTCAAGAGTTCTTGATGAAAATCTAACCGAGATCTATAACATGGAAAGATCTAAATTAATTAACCTTTTATGAAAGAAGTTATTGTATACAAATTGCTTGAAGTATTACATACTTTATGTTTGTAATTTAAAGTATAGCAGTATAGCTTGAGTTACATAAATGGCAAGTGTAAAAGCTTGCTTCTTTGAAAATATAAAATTTCTCGTTAAACAAGGCCTTAATCAAATTATTACTTTTTACTACAATGTATATTCATTTGAATAAATGAAAATATCAAGGACACGTGACAAATGAATTTGACTAGTGTTAAGGTGACTGCTGATAGTCAATACATATGCTATCACACAATACAAGACCCAAGAAAATGGTCAATTTATGAAGGAAGGGAGAATGAAATCCCACTGTTTTCAGTTAACTTAATAATGATATTTCAAAACAGTTAAATATTTATCTTAATGTAATATGGAGCAACAATATTATTTCTGAATTTAACAGCTTAAGGATGCTTCACCGTTATTGTAGTAGAAACCTTTTCAAAGCCAATTACCAAAGGTTTAAATAGTTATGTGAAATTGTGTTATCTGATTATACTATAATTAAAGATGTTAAAAAACGAAAACAAATTTGAATAAAAATAATAAACACCACAAAGTTAAATTCACGTTTCCAGGTAAATGTTCTTATAATACTTTGAACTATTTGTGGCAAATTATAAATTGTTTGTTACGTTTCCATTGCTTAAACATTTGCCCCAAAAAACAAGCTTGTATCCATATTTAGAATTCACAGAGATTTGTCATATGGCTGCTCTAAAGTTGCTACTAATTGCTACACCACATAGAACTATGCGAAGTCTTTTATTGCACTATCAAACTGTTGTGAACAAAAATCCTTATAAAGAAATGAATGAACTTGTACATTTGAAGTTGCATGATTAATGCTGACTGAAAACTTTACTAGTTTAACAGGTGGGATATTATAACACAAAACAATGCAATTGGTCACTGAATCTTCATTCTCCTTAAAATCTAAATTATTCACAAAATGTTTGAAGGAATTTGATAAGGAAAAGACAAGAGAAAAGAAATGTACGAGGTGCTGATTCATGAGAAATATACAACAAATTTACAAAATCAAATGCCTTTGCTGGTGACTGAGTCATAACATGGACTTAAATCATAATGATGTTCTTGTGCCATGATTGACAGTAAGGAAAAACAACATCAATACAGTAAATACCATTCTCTATAAAACATAGTACAGAATATATTTTCTTAGAAATGTTCAAGGCTGTACAATTAACTCTTTCCAGTCAACTGGTTGGTTGATCAGTAGTTTAAACATTGTCTTATAAAAACCTGTTCAACTGGTTTCATTTCTAAGACTTTGTCTATTGACATAAATTAGCTATTAGAAATTACAAAGTAATTTTGTCACCTAGAGAACTTAAATTCACATTAAAAACAAAGTACACTAGTTCTATACCTACAGTTTTTTTCAAGCAACATTTGATTGTTTTAACTACTGAATGTAAAAGAAAAAAAGTTCTCAAATGTTACCATAAAAATGATAAATCTGAATCACCAGTGATCAAAATAATGCTTTAAAAAAGATCATACATTTTTAAGGTCAACATACAAATTGTTACAATCTTAGTAGACCTTCACATGATTTCAAACTTTTCCTATAGTATCTTGTGTCATTAGGAGAAAACACACTGTTTCTGAAGAGTATTCTACTTCTTCTTATGCACTTATTTTAACACACTTCACAGTGGCAAGTTAACACAACTGACTTAATTCATCCATTTACGACAGTTAGGAGCCCCACAGAGGCATGGAATTTTGTGTTGATCATCTTCTACTTCAAACCTATAGTCGTAGGTTAGCTGAAAGAAAAGTTCTTCTATACTATGCGAACATACAAAAAAGTTAAACAATAAAAATTCAGATACAATAATACACAGACATATTTCCCAAAAGATGTTTTTCTTGCAGCAAATCAAATACATCTAAATTCTGCCTACAGTGCACTGTAATAAAAATGCTAAGTAATGTATCCTCATAGAAAACATCATGATGAAACAACTAAGTCTAAACTTCAATATCACATAGCTTTCTCTCAGCTTTGGGCAGGAATATCAGGTTGTTAGTATTTCATTTTAACTTTTTCAGTACGGGCTTGGTCCCAGGAACCGACCTTGTAACCTTGTTAATAGTTTTAATGCTATACCTTTTAAATTAGTATGAGTATGTTCACGAAATTTTGTAGATTATCAATAAACATTACAAGGCTTTTGTATGCAAAATTTCAGATTTCTAATATTAATTTTAAAAGTTTTTAAGTAATGATTTTCTCATGCCTTTTTTTTTGGATCATTGACTATCCAACAAGCAAAGTAATTTTGATTTTAAGATTAAAAATACATTTATGCAAAAGAAAATTTTCAAATTTCACATGTATCTATATAACTCCAGATAATTATCAAATATTTTTTAAGAAAAAACTATTTTATCTGTTATTTTCAGTATCAAATCTCTGTATGTTTTAAACTCAGTTCTTGGACTGCACAACTAAAGAAAATAAAAAATATCAAGCTATCTCCCCTTAAATTTATTTTGAGAGATCTCAAATAATTTCTGCTCTCTATTGATCATGCCTGTATTCGAGTGCTGGATCAATGTGTATTTAATAGGTTTTCACATATAAACCTATTAAATACACATTAAATTAACCATCTCTCTTTGGATTGTACTTTAAATATTCTGCCCAAATACACTAAAAACAAAATAAAAAGGGTAATTACCTCCTCTCCACGATTGATTCTACGATTGGCTATAATCATAATTTTCTTTTCTCTATCAATCTGCACCTCCTCTGCTACACAGTTTGGATAACACGAGTGATTGATATACCTAGCTAATCCTCCACATAAGGTAGCATCAATTACTTTGTTCTCTTCTAAACGAAACATGTACACTCCTCGATTCTAAAAACAAATATGATGTGTTTTTAATTCAATCATAAGACAACATTAACATCAAAATATGACAAAATTAGTATTAATAACTTAGTTAATAGCAGCATGCCATCAAAGCACAACATATGTATGAATAACATTAGCATTATCACCTTTTATGAAGCAAAAGTTTTATATATCATTTTAAAGAAAACAATACTTACTTGTTTTGTGTACTCTCTCTCATTTCTTTCAGCTATTTCATTTCTGATAAGCATGCCTATATATTCTATGACCATTGTATGTTTTTCTATATCCCTGGCAGCATACAATCCCAGACCCTATATTTTGATAAATAAAGCAGTCAAAATAAACATAAATAAACACACACACACACACATTTGCTTTTGTTGTTTTTTTATATTAGAGCAAGTAACCTTTAATATGGTTAAAAATTAACCTATGTTAGATGTTGAAAGTACATTTTTCATGAGTTTTAAACTCAGCCTAGCATAAAAAATATCTATCTTGAGATATTTCAAACAATTTCTGCTGTCTTTTGATCATACCTGTATTTGAGAACGGGCTAAGTATACATTGTTTCGCCAATCAGTTTTCATTTTTCGGTACTGAGAAGACTTGGAGTGAACAAACTGTTTGATGTAGGGTGAACTAATCTCTACTCCTCCAAGAGAAGACTGTAAACTGGATCTAGATGTATTGCTTGTATGTAAGGTATGTGGTCTGTAAGGAAGAAATATAATGTTTTTAAATAAAAAGCCTTTTAAGAAAAGAAGTACAGATCAACAGATATAAACCATAAAACAATCTTTATGGTGAAAAGCAAAAATTATTGTGTGGTTTATATTACAAAACTATATTTTATAACTATTTTTAACCTTTCTCTCTCTTGCTACACTGTTACAAAGTCCAATTACCATCACTAACCTACATTAAAAGTAGGCTGGATACTGAGGATGGATATGTGGATAATCATCATATTTAAATTTATTAAGTAATTACGTTAAATTTAAATCAAAAACATGACTGGTACCTAAAATAGTTTAAATTTGATCAAAGACAACTTCTCTTTAAAATGTTACTCTGAATTTCTTCTCAATTATGTGTTGCTGGGTAATATTTAAAAAAGATAAAAACAATTATTCTCAATATATCCCTTAATCAACATTTTCACAATGTTAGAAATATTATAGAAATCAGTATGTTAAACTTTCAAGTGATATTATAGCAACTTATATAAACATAAAACTCTGAGAAAGTTAAAACCTTGGCATTATCGTGAAAACTATACGCCAGTTAGAAAAGCACAGTTGAAGCACAAGACATTTCATTTTATGGTGATATATGTAAATAAATTTAAAGATCTCCTTAAAGCCTCTCAGATTAGTATTAGCATACCTCTTAAAGTGAGTTCTAAGTTTGGGTTCTGTTCGGGCGCAACCAGTTGGATTGATAGCCAGTGGAAGTTCCAAGAGTGGTGAACGACCATAACGAAAATTGTAGTCGGTGAGGGTGTCTACCCCAGGAAGCTGAATAACAAAAAATAAAAAACTGTATTAACTTTTATCATAATTTTAAAACAATAATCAGTATCAAATTCACTGTAAAATCACCAAAAAATGAATAAAACGAAATTTTTAACAGAATCACAGTGTTACAGTAACATTAGAAACTGTTTGAAAGGAGTCTTTAGGAATATTAACCACATTAATCAAAGAAAAATACTTGGATGAATTAAAAATAAAGAGAATAAATAAATAAATAAATAAAAAGTGAATTGGGTGGCTTAGCTTTAGTTGTTCAACATATACCACAAGGTGAAATGTTCCAAAAAGTTAACTGAGGGAAATCAACTAAGAAAATTTAATTCCCTCGCAATAAATAGATTTTCCTCTATAAAATAGTAGATCTACTGGATATGGAGTTTTTGTTTAACACAGAACTGTATATTAATAATGCAACTAGTAATGGAATTGGGTTGATAAATGCAATAACCTAGGTAAACAATATGTTTATTCACGTGTATTAAAATTTTAATGAAACAACAGTACATTTTTTTATGACTCTGAATGTGTTTAAATAGAATAACTATGGAAGGTCACTACTTCTTAATGTTTATCAATATTTTAGCTAAACCAGAAAACTACATACTCAACATCACTTCATCAAAAATAAATAGACATCAAACAACAGATTAAAGAGTCTATAGAATAGAACAGATTAAGAACAAATATTCATTGCATCACTTTTAAGTTAGAGCATTTACTAAATGGCCTAGGTATAATTCCAACAACAACAACAAAAAAAGAATCTGTTCAACAGCGTTGCTGAATAAGGCAAGCAAAAAACTTGAAAAGGCTTCACTAAATAGCTTAGGTCTAAATTATTCCAACATTTCACAACCAAACTTCAAGCTCTCTCATCAGAATCCATTTCACTAGAAGTTGTGTCACTGGTCGACATGTCTCTGGGTTTCTTTTTCCTAGGCTCCACCTGGCATGCACACTTTCAGGATTATATGTGCTAATCTGATAGTCACTCATAAGGTGACCGAGTGAATCTGATCTCAAAGAGGCTCTCCAGTGTTTTGATCTGTAACAGAAAAGCCTCTTTCAGCAGCAGAAGTGCTGACTGGTAGAACAAGTATGATTTGTAATAAAGCACAAATGTTAGGTAAATCTCTTCTTGAGCTAACAATACTCTGCTCAGTAGGTTTTGTGATTACGTTTTTTATTTGCCAACATGTTTACTGTGGCTCATTTGAACTGGTCTCATTCAACTATACATAAGACAGGATTAAATCCTTTTTTGCTCCATGGTTTGCTTAAATGCTTTTCCAAGACTTCAACTTCATCTTGACCACAGCTATCTAATGCTTTTTTATCTTTAGGCCAAGATTTCACTTTGAAAATCTAAGCATTCTGACACACATTTTCTTTTTCAAACACATCTTTGAACCTTTCATGGATAGAGTAAATTGCTCCTCACAAAATAAAAAAAAAAAAGTTCAGATCTTTAACCA